AGTCGATGCGTGGTAAAGGGAAAGGATCCTTTGGATAGGCCTTTTTAAGATTTATATAGTCTATACACACACTCTCCATTTACCATTTGTACCACAGACACATTAGCTAGCCATCTTGGGAATTTCACCTCCTTGATCATGCCTGTTTTGAGAAGTTTTTCTACTTCTTCTTGTATAACTTGGTTTCTCTCGGGTGCAAATCTTCTTCTCTTTTGGTGTATTGGTCTGAAATATGGGCCAATGTTAATTTTATGAGTTATCATGCTTTTGTAGATACTTGTCATACCCTCATGTTTCCATGCAAACGTTTTGATTATGGCCTTGAGGAACTTTACAAGAGCCTGTTCGATTTGTTCAGGAATTGAGGATCCTATGAGAACTTTGGCTTCAAGATCCTCGAGGTTCAGGGGCACTTCCTTTATGTCATGCTCTTTTGCTTCTAACACGCTTTGTGCCCCTTGCTTTAAATGATATGCTTATCGTGGTATTGTTGAGGATGTTATTGAGATCTTGTAGCATTCCTTGGATTCTTGTTGGTTTCCCATGATCTTTATTGTCCCCCATGGGGTGGGCATCTTTACGCATTGATGGTACATCGATGGGGCGACCTTCATTTCATGGATCCATGGTCTACCTAATATGATATTATAATAAGACGATACGTCGATTACACAAAAACGTTGAATAGAATTTACTCCCTTTATGTATATTGGTAGTTTTATTTCGTCAATGGTTTGTTTAGTTTCTCCACTGAAGTCGATTAGTACTAAGGATCTTGTGACTATCTCAGATTCCAGGATGTTCATTCTTTTTAGTGCATCTAGGAGTATGATGTTAACTAAGGATCCTCCATCGACGAGGATCCTTTTGACGATGTGGTTTGAAATATAGAGAGTATTCACTAGTCCATCATGGTGAGGATCCTAGACATCTAGTCTGTCCATTTCATCGAAGATGATTTCCTTTTGGCTGGTGAGAGTTGTGTTTTTTGGTGGTCCTTTTTCCCTCTCCGTCTTGGATACATTGGCATGCCTTTTTGCTGCAGAGTAGGAGGTACCACAAATGTCAGATCCTCTAGAGATCATGTTGATCACCTTGGCATCAGTCGGGAGGGGGGGGATCTTGGTTTTTCGAGGATCTTCTGGGGATCCTGGTCTTTTTCTTTGGATTTTTCTTTTCTTCTACCAAGGATCTCTTTGAGATATCCTTTACCCAGAAGGTAGCTAATTTCTTTCTTGAGAGCTATGCAATCCTCCGCGACGTGACCAAATTCCTCATGATATGCACATAATTTGGACTTGTCCTTCCAAGCAGTGGCTCCTTTCCTTGACCACCTGGCTTTCTCTCCAAGATCTTGCATGGCAAATATTATACCTGAAATATCCATAGAAAAACAATAGTTGGTAATTTTGGGTAAATTTTCATCCTCCCCTTCGTCTTCAAGGGCATTAACCATGTGATGGTCGGGTATGGAGTAAGGCTTTGACTTATAGGATCTTTGGGCCGAGGAGTCAACCTTCCTATTGGGGTGATCATAGGATCGTGGTGGGTTGCTCCTTTTCTAGATTTCCTTGTCTTCTTCGATTCTGATGAATCTCAATGCCCTGCTCCTAACTTTGTCTATTCTCCTGCATAGGGTCATTACGAGATCCTCGTAGAAGGAAGAATCCTTCTTTAAACCCATTTTGAAGGCTTCGACAACAGTTGCCATGTTGATGTTAGGGATGCTCAAGGCTTCCCTATCAAACCTATTCACAAAAGTCCTAAGGGATTTCTGAGGATCCTAAACTACTCGATAGAGATCATTAGTGAACTTTTTGAATGTCCTGCTGCAAGAGAACTGGTTATTAAATAAATTGATTAAATGAGCAAATGATGTGATTGAATAAGGATGAACATTAAGGAGCCATTTTACAGTGAATCCCATGAGGGTAGAACCAAAGCCCTTGCATAGGCAAGCTTCTTTAAAATGTGTGGGGATGGGAATAATTTCCATCTTCTCCCTATATTGTACTACGTGCTCCTTAGGATCCGTGGTTCCATCATATGACTTCATGTTGGGGGTCTGGAAGCATTTTAGAACTTCAGTATCACCTATAACTAGGATGAATCTAGAGATCCTATGACTTGTGGGGGACGATTCTGGCATCGGCTGAACTACTCCAGGTATGCTTGAGATCATTTGTCTTAGCTGTTGTAGCTCCTTGGCCATAACTAGGCACAAACCTGTTTCAAGATCCATTGAGTTAGTTGTAAAATTATTATTGATAGAGCTACCAGGATCTATGTTATTAGGAGTAATAAAAGTTTCATTAGGATCCGGAATCTCGCGATGGGTCACTGAGGATCCTGTTGTTGGGCGATCTGTCATTCCAGTCTCTTCATTATAGAAAAGATTTATTGTTGGAAATCATCACGGGAGGATCCTGGAGTCCCGGAGTGACCGGAGAGGTGTTATTCTTCGGGGTTTCAGATACTTTCGTGGGAGCCCCGGCGATGGTGGAAGGGTTTTAGAGGAAATGAGAGGTATCAAGGAGGAGGAGAGAGTCGATCGACTAGACATGATTTTCTGAGGGATTTTGAACACCACGACCCTACAGTGGGTGCCAAATTGTTTTGGTCAAAAAATAATTTAACTAAAATGGACCAAAGTGTATGAGAGGTTGCAATGTTCAATCTAAAGCAAATAAGTGAAATATATCAAAGCAACACAAATTGTTTATAAGGAAGTCCCTTGATCCTTGTTAGGATATTAGGCATAAAACCTTGGGATGTGATAATGATCACATGTCTTGATGTTTTTATTGATTGAAATGAAGATTACAAAGAAAAATGGAATAAGTATGAGTACAAATGATAGTATTCTGCCAAAAAATTATGTGTAGTGTGATGATTACAAGTGTTTTATATAGCCAAACCTTAACAACTAGACCTCCGATAATTCCGGGATACTCCGAGATTACTTATAGTCGTTTGCTTAACTTGGTCCTCCATGTCTTTTGCATAGTTATGATGACTATCCGTTGAGTATATGACGTTGACCAGTTATTTTTGCACATGTAAGAAAGATAAAAGAATATATATTCATTATAAATAATAAAAATATTAGTCTGGATCCTAGAATATATTTGGAATCCTGAGGTTTGAGGATCCTGAGCTTTTTAGGATCCTTAGACTTGAGGATCGTATAGTGGTTTCAGGATCCTAGCCCTAACAAGTATAATCTTTTCGTATTATATCAGGTAGCATAATGATTAGGCATAATATCATTGCTTAAAACTAGACAGAGTTTCTATCAGCATCTTATCCTACCGTTTAATGTTATATATATATATATATATATATATATATATATATATATATATATATATATATATATATATATATATATATATATATATATAGATATATAAACTAGTAATATATTTACAAAACATATTTTCATAAAGCAACTTAATAAACATGTATTCCACCCCCCCCCCCCCCCCCCCGCTCCTTCCCGTAAAATCTTTAAAACCAGTAAAAGTTGGGCCATAAACTCACCCTCAATTCGTCATATCACTGATATAGGGTTGATTCGGGACCTGGGGATTGCAGCAACTCCAGAGAAAGTGTGTGTGTGTGTGAGAGAGAGAGAGAGAGAGAGAGAGAGAGAAAGAGAGATGTGATTGAGAGTGTGTAGAATGAGAGTGTGTAGAATGAGGCTACTGAACCCTCTATTTATAGTTGACGTTTCGACGTGCGTGTGGTGCAATTATCTACGTTCGTCGCACGTGGTCATCGTGGCTTCATCAGGGAGTCACCATGTGTCACTCTCTCCATGGGTCACGTCACTTGCAATCTGATCGAATCCGGTGTCAACAAGAGCAATAGGTTTGATGTTGAGAGGATTTGTACAATAAACACCCATTAGGTTCAAGCGGCATGGAACCATGATTTTGACAAGCTTTATCGATTCTCATTTCTAAAAACTAGAAACCAGGTTCGATTGGTGATGGTATAGATTTTGTGATCTCGTTGGGTGAAGAAGAAGGTGATACACGTCGGAGCAAGAAGGTGTTGAGTTTGATTGAGGGGAAGTCTTTTTATTACAATTTTCATTCGAATAAGCATCCTATGCGTAATGCTTCGCTTCATTTTTTTATGACAGCCAAACAATATTTTTTCATTCATCCATAATGCTACATTTCATTATTCTCTCTTTAATCACTCATACCTAACGTTGTCTTAACAATAAAAATATATAATATATAAATTTAGAAAATATATGATTAAAAAATATTTGAATTTTGATAGTATAAAATAAACATATTATATAATATTTATATTTATAAAAGTATATAAACAACATATAGTTGTACAGTCGCTTTAATCTTTTTAATATATACAATAACATCTAATTTTATTTTCCTGTGGTTGGACGTGAGGTGTGGAGAGGTTGCAGATTACCTTAATTTCTATTCTAATTTACTATTGTATGTCACAAAGAATCTTTGTAGCAACCACCATTTGAAAGCTCATCTGGTAAGACATTGTCATCTACGGTCATCTACCTGTCACATGAGACCCAAGTCACCATAACCTCAAAAAACCAGCGAAGATGCTACTGTAGGTGGACAAACAATTAATTAAAAAATCTTAGGATTCCATTTTTAAATTTAATGTCTTTGGTTGATCAAAACACAAACACGTTAATTGTTTTGGTAACTCCACAAGCATTTAAGAGTCGAAGTGTTGAAAAGTGAAAACAATTTACCGAAACAAATGTCTAAAATTATTATATTTATGAGGAACGCAAAAGAATTTGCACACGAATGAATAAAGAAAACGACCTTACAAATTACACCCAAGTTAAACAATTTGCACACGAATGAATAAAACACAAAGTTATTATATTAATTTATGAGTAAAACAAAAGAGTTTGCACACGAATGAATAAACAAATGTCCTTACAAATTATACCTAAAAGAATTTCCACACGAATGAATAAAACACAAACCCTACACAAACTCAACGTTCCTTCTTTGGTCCGATCGATGCTTTAATCCTTTAAGTTGCATTTCCCACACCATTCTTGAATACTGCACTCCATGTCCACTGTAAGCATGGTCTTGAAGACCACACCCCATAGATTCAACCAAGCTCAAGTCATACATTCTTCGAGAATTTGGATCAGAAAGCACCTCATACGCCTCTCGCAACTCCACAAACTGTTTTGTGCATTCCTCCTTTATAGAAGATGGAGAAACATCGGGATGAAGTTGAAGAGCTTTTGCACGATATGCTTTCTTGAGGTCATGGAAACTAACATTTTGTGATTCTAATGAAAGAACTTGGTACAGATTCTTGTTGTTACTTATAGGCAGCTCTTTGACCCTGCATGATATAGTAGTGGTCATCTTGGTGCCATTAATGTTACTCTCTTTCTTAAACATCAGATCGCTTTTCTGCAACACAAAGTTCATCTTCAAAGCCATAACGATTGTGGTTGTGGTTGTGTGTGTGTGTGTGTTTGACAGGAAGATGTTAAATTCTATGTGGAATGGGGCGACTTTTGGGTGTATTTAAAGAAAAAAAGATGAGGGGGGATTATTATATTAACAAGCTGGCAAATATATATAAGAATTAGCAGCACACGCTTTTGAATGTTAGATTGGCAAGTAGTGATCTCCATGTGGAAGTTTCCATCCGTTGTCTATTGTTTGCATCGATTTAAATTGTTGAACAAGTCTTGGTATCCGCTAATTCCTTTCGATAAATTTGTTTAATAGTTGGAAATTGATCATGAATTTTCAATGTGTATTTAATTTACGATGACGTTTTATGGGTTTTGTATACAAAAATAGTTTTTGTGTTTGTTCATGATGATCATACAAAAAAGATTGTTAGGGTATGATCATTAACCTGCAGATGCTTATATTCACTACTTTTATCCTAATGTTAGGCATAATAATTTGAGTCAAGAATCGTCAAATGCTAGATGCTATTGGGGACTAAAAAGATCGTCAACAAGAAGTTCTATTGAAGACTTGTTGTATCATTATTCGAGATGCCATGCAATATTTTACGCATTTTTGTAGGCAAATGTAAGACACTTCGAGAAAATATTATGTTCAGTTGCTCCATTTTTTTTGGAATACAAAAAGTTTCTTAATTAAGCAATCTCTGAAGTTTTATGTGGGTCAACAAAATTTGCATGGAGTTTACCCTTATTATAGAGAGAAGACATTTCTTAAATAATAATTTGTTTTATACTTAGTTAACAAAATTTGCATATATGTTTTCTTTAATGTGATATTTGATAATAAATCATTAGAGTCAAATTATTAACAGTGCTAAAATTAACTAGTTATGGAAGTTTAACGTTAGTGTTGTTTGAAGTTATATTAATAAGAGAATCAAACAAACAAGACGAGGCTTGTAAAACGTGAGGAAAAAATCTTTCAAATCCAGTGGAAATAATAGGGAAATAACCGGTGCTAGCGACTTTTGGATGATAATTTTTTGTTGCAAACGGAATGATACGGCTTTGTTATTTTGATTTCCAAAATAGTTAAACAATTAAAAGAAAATTTCATTTATCTAAATAATAAGAAACAAATATTATAAATCAATTTTAAAAATGAACTATTCATTTAAAAAATTACACCGACTCGGATCAATTAATAATTTGAACTAGCGCCCGAATTAAAAATATAATAACCGGATATTCGATAATGAATTTCAAAAAGATTTCAAATACAATGTAATTTTAGAACCATACAAAAACTGATTTGTGAAGACGAAAACCGAACCGAAATTTCTTATTTTTATACGGGTTTGATTTCGTCTGATTATTAGGGCCAATTTGGGAATTTCTCAAAAAGTTTGACATCAAAACTAACTTTGAAAAAATGAGACAAAAATTATATATGTTTCCATACAGGTTTTGCAAAAACTATTTCATGTCCGATTCATAAACGGGTTATATATTTTCGGCTTGCTATGTAAAATTCGGTTTTATTTCGATCTAATTTGGCAAAAATTAATTTACTTAAAAAAAAAAACCAAATAGGTTTCAGACCGGATCAAACGTGCAATTTTGATCAAACCATAGGGACGAAAAACGCAACAAAATCAAATCATAGAGACGATCCGAGTACAAAGAAAAAATTAAGGACCAAACATAAAATTTTATCAAAACCATAATGATGATTTTAGTAAACATGCTAACTTGTTCATTGGAAGTATCGAATATGGATCAAAGTCAGATGTGGGCTTAGGCCCAAATATATATTCCTTTATGTTTCTGTAACGGTGTCGTTTCTTTCGACTTTCGTCCCACCCAACTTGTCCAACAAGAATTCCTTATTTCAGTCAAAGTCATCTCTCCTAGGGTTTCAGTTCCGATATCAAAACCCCTTTACAAAACTGATATTAAATCTGTAAATATAAACATCTCATCGATCCTTTAACTATGGTGAAGAAATCATCGGAGACTGGTGGTTTAACGATTGCGCCATTTCTGTCTAAATGTTATGAGATGGTTGATGATCCTTCGACGGACGCTTTAATTTCATGGAGTCCGACTAGTGACAGTTTCATTGTTTGGAATGAATCCGAGTTTACTTCCGAATTGCTTCCCAAATATTTCAAGCACAGTAACTACGCCAGCTTTCAACGCCAACTCAATATCTATGTGAGATTTCTATTATTCTATTCGTTTCTTGATTTCTTAACTGGTCATTTGTTGAAAGATCAATCTTTGAATAGATTTGATTATTTCACATAGTTTCTCTGCTTCTTTGGCTTATTATCATCGCTGTAATCTCGTTTCATTTCTATAATTTTGTTACCCGGAATTCAGTCACAGAACATTGGGTTCCTTAAATTGAGGAACAAAACTTCTTGATTAACCTGAGTTCTAGCAACCAAAACAACCAATAATTTGTCGATTAATATCTCACTTTCTTGGAAACCCTAGAATCCAATTTTGTGAAATAAGATTATTCAAAGGCGATGCCTTTAGGTTGAAGTAAGAATCCAGTTTTTTGCACTAAGGTTATTCAAAGGGGATACCTTTATGCTTAAGTTGGGACATGATAAAGATAATCTCTTTAAGGATGACTTATCAGAAACACTATCTGGAACTTATCAATTTTATAAGATTGGTCAATTCATATACCCATCATCTGTACATTTGCCAATGGATCATAAAACCAAATGAGATTCAAGAAATCTTGAAAATCCACTATCTTAATCATAATTTTTTCAGGGGTTTAGGAAAATTGATACAGATAGATGGGAATTCGCAAACGAAGGATTCATCAAAGGCCAAAAGCATTTATTGAAGTCAATAAACAGAAAAAAAGTGACACATGTCACAACTCATCAAAAAGTTACACAAGAAAAAGCTCCAGAGTCCAAACTCATACATCTCACCACACATGATGAAAACCGATATGCAAACTTAAGAAAAGAAGTAGAGAATCTCAAGACAGATAAAAATGCCTTAATGCAAGAGCTTGTGAAACAAAGACAACACCAAGATAATTCACAAACAAAAATGTTAGTTCTTCGTGAACAGCTAAAAGGTATGGAAAAAAACCAACATCAAATGTTGTCATTCATAGTTATGGCAATGCAAAGCCCTGGTTTTTTAGCTCAATTATCAACTCCAGTTCAAACTACATGGCTCAAGAGTGAAAGTAATAGCAAAACCATATTAAAACCTGTTGTTGAAGATACTGAAGACACTGAAGATACTGAAGAAACTGTGATTCTTCCTCATGAAGGTGCAATTGTGAAATATCAACCACCAGTTGAATTCCCACAAGATGGATTTGAATTTGAGCTTAGTTCTGAAGAAGTGAAGGATTTGTTGAAGGATTTTGATCCTGAGGTGACATTTGATGAGAGGATTGAAAGTTATGATCCGTTTGTGATCCATGATAATGGTGATGATATGTTGGATCAGCTTCTTTCAAGTCCTTTTTCAGAGAAAAGTAAAAGTGTGAAAGATTTTATTGATGAAGAACATGGATTTGAGGAAATTGGATTGGAATCGATGGATAGGTTTAGAGTTTTGACAGAAGAGTTTGAGAAATCTTTGAGTGTGTCAACTATGGAATCTTGATTTCATGGAGTTGACTTTTGGTACTTTAAGTTGACATCTATTTTTGTATATTGTTAATGTGTATAAGTCGGTTTTCCTTGGGAAAACATGTTTAGAGAAACGCTAAAATGTTCTTCATATACGAATGTTATTTTCAACCTCTATTTGGTGATTAAGATTGTAATCGTAGTTATAAAAGAATTGATATTCTTTTGCCATAAAATGTCTTATGCTTACAATATTTGTCATTGATAAATTGATGTTCATATTAACCATGAGTAACATACCAATCACATTTTTGCTATAATTCGTGTTGTTCTGACATGTGATATGAAATAAGTGTTCAAAGAAAGAATACACTTGAAATAGTTTATGATATTTGCCTTCGGAATTTTAGAGGCCAAAAGTATTTAAAAGGGTTAATTGAAAATATGGCCAAAACATAAGAGGATGGATATAATGAATTGACCACATTTTCTACAATATAACACAAGATAAGCAATGTGAAACAACTATGGGTTTAAAAAGGCGTTGCTTGTTTTTGCAGTCTTTTTTTTCGTAGTGGAATTAACCTCTTCAAGCCAAAGGTTTTGTGACTAAAATAAGTTGATATTGTAGAGTTTTGTTTGTTTATATGAAGAAAGGATTTATCCCATATTGTTAGATTTTAAAAATAAGAAGTTGGTTTCATTCCTTAAAAGTAGTCTAAGGTTTTAGTTCAAAAATGTCCCAATTAAACACTATTTTTTTTTTCATTTCCTCTTTTTTTAGCATTTTGTTTATGTGCTTGTCATAAATTTTAACGTAGTAAAAAACTCTTGGTGTTGTGGTGGTGTTTTCGTTTTTTGAGTTCTTAAATTTTCTGTATTATTTGTCATTTGGTGGATTGGGTGGTTTTCATTTATGGATTTCTCAAGTTTTCTTTATTCTTTTTTCATGAGGTGGATCATGTTTGGCATAGGGTGGATTGGTGGTAATTTTTTTTTTTTGGAGTTGTTACGTTTTCTTTATTCTTTTTCATTTGGTGGATTGTTGAGAATGTTTAAGACCATTTTTCCAATATTAACAAATATGAGATGGGTACCATCCCCTTCTTGAATTCCAAGAAATGGCCACTTTTTTTTTGCAAGGCGGAAAAAATAAAATAATAATAATTAGACAGAAAGTAGAAAAAACCAAGAACAGTTACATAATTGTTAGTCTGGATCTTGCAACCACCCTACCCAACTGATATAATAACCTTTTAATCTAGAATTACACCAAAGATAAGATTGAAAAACAATATCATCAAATAAAAAAGACTTCTTCAGCTTCAAATTCCCAACCAACAGGTGGTTCCTAAACTTTCATATATGCCACCACATTACATAAAAAAAAAATTGCTTCCAAAACTTCCTTACCCAATAAGCACGTTCTCAAAGAACCAAAAACGCCACCCGCTCACCATATAAAGTCAAAGAAGGAGCCAAACAATCTTTCTAGTTACTTCATTCAACAACTCCATATCAATCGCACAAGAGTAAAAAAAAAAAAAAAAAAAAAAGGTGAGCAACAGATTCAAGTGTACCCTTACATATCGGACAAATAAAGCATGGGACCTCCGTACCTCTTTTTACCAGATTATCCTACCTTTTTTTAATAGATTATCCATAGTTGGTAACCGATCAAGAAACAATTACCAAACAAAAGCATTTACCTTAAAAGTGACAATCTTTAGCCATCTAGTCAGGCTCACTGACACCTCCAATAAAGAGTCATCAATGAACCGTCTCGTAGAAGAGACAATTAACTCTCCAGAACCCAACTCCATCTACCATCAGTGGGAATCAAAGATACATCCTCCAAGACCGTTGTTCCTCTTCTACACCACCTCTAGGCAACCTGCAAAAAGAAGAGGAAATCGTAGGCTGGTTAAGCTGATCTGACACCTCCCTCTCATTATCGAACGCAAAAGCCTATGAAAATGAAAACCCATACATCTTTCCAAAAAGACATTTCAGAACCATTACCAACTCTCTTCTGACAGATGGAAAACAAATTGACACCTTTAGACAATAAATGTTGAATACTATTAATCAGATCCAGCCAAGACGAAGACTTAAAATATGTCAAAGTCTTCTCAATCCCGCCATAATTCCCATGAATAGCTTTCACCACTCTTACCCAAAAAGCATCTTAATGAATACAAAATGTCCAAATCCATTTGAACAACAAAGAACGGTTGAGGTCAAAGAAGCTATTCATCCCAAGACCACATACCTCCTTATTAGATAAAACTTTTTTCGAAGTCACCCATGTTATCTTCTTTTTTTCCAAACCAACCACTATAAAGAAGTTATTCCTCAAAGACTCCAACTTTGATAGAACACCCATCGATACCTAATATAAGGACTTAAATTATTAGGCAACGACCCAAGCACTGACTTTAAGAGAGTTAGTCTCCCAACAACTGATAATGTCTTCACTTTCCACTTCAAAAGTTTAGACACCACTTTTTGAACCATTTCTGTCTAAGAGGACAATGTAGACATATTTCCCCATACACTAATACCTAGTAAGCGAAAGGGGTTTTCATAGCTGCACAACCAACCTGGTAAGCCATATCTTCAAATTTATTAGAAGGCACACATACCCTTAACAATTTACTTTTCGGTTGTTAGATTTCAAAAAAAGCTATATGCCGAAATAATCATGCCTACCGACTGTCTTAAGTAGATAATCCTTATTTGATAGCATTTTCTTGTTATTGGGATTAGTGATGGATCTAGCTTTCTATTATCAGATGTCCTTAGATGCTGATCAGTTATACCATTATAGGTCATTTCGTGTTTGGAGCGCCTACTCATTGGTTGGATTGTTGTTAGTTGTCCAGGTAGTTGTTCAGGTGGATTTTCTCGCTATACTCTGTATTATAACATACATCATTTGTATGATAGGATGTTGTTATGTTGTAGTATGTTGTTAGGCAAATAAATAGTTAGTCAATTGCCATTTGTATTGGATTGTTTGGTTGTATGTTTGTTATATATGTGTTGACATATCAGGTTGTGAGTTAAGGGTGGTCCAACTTTATGTTGAAAGCCAAGATACTTAGGGCAGACCCACTTTATGATGAAATCTAAATAGGCGGACTATTTGGGTTTCGGTGAAGAATCCCAAGGGATTTGATTCTAGATTGAGGGGCCAAAGTTGGTTCGAGGTAGCTATGGAAAGTGCGGAAAGACTCATGATGGAGCCTGTAGGGCGGGTGGTTCGAGCTGCTATAGGTTCGGCAAGTCGCGGAACTTTGGTAGCAATTGTACTGCTATGATTATCATCTAGGGATCTAATTTGATTTGCTTCCATTGCAATCAAAGGGGCCACAAGAAGGCCAATTGATCGAGTTTAGCATCAGGAGGACCAGTAGCAACACCTGCTCCAGCGAATCTGAGGATTATAGATGGTCACCAGGGCAAGGCGGAGGCACCCATTGTTCGGAGCAGGGCATTTTAGCTGACAGGCGAGGAGGCTCGTGCAGCACCCAATGTGGTCACTAGTATGTATCTTCTCCTTATCTTCTTATTTATATTATTTGTAATGCTTATATGTGGTATCGTTATATAGGTTCATTCGTTGTGAACGATATCCCTGCATTGGTCCTATTAGATTTGGGGTACCCGATCTTTTGTATCCCTTGCGCTTAGCAAGAGATTTGATGATGTCCCGGGAGAGTTGGACTATCCACTAGAGATTGAGATTATTGATGACCGTCCGACGTGAGTGTCGAGGGTTCACCGGGGATGCATCTTGGAGATATTCAGTGAGCCGTATCGGATTGATTTGGTTATGATTCCCCTACGTGAGAACAAGGTCATTGTGGAGATGGATTGGTTAAGCCTCAATCCATCTGTAGACCTCTACAGTGGAAGAGGTGGACCAAATGTCTACAGTCTGCAAAAGGAAGACTGATTGTTTTTTAAAGTCTACAGACTACTAAAAATAATTGATTTTTTAAACCTTAAAAGACTTTGAAAAGAAGATTAATAAACAAATTTTAATAATTTACATACAACGTACAAAATTTAACAATTTCCGCTGCATTATCAAGCAATAAAAGGATCATTTTTAAGATATTCAAAAAAATTTAAGAATCTACATATTATGAATCAAAATACCCATAAAAACATTACATTGCAAATTATCCAAGCATCAAAATCCAAGCTCTAAACTACATTCCTATGACGTCATCATTATATTCCAGCTTTGGGCAATCAAAATAACCAAGGCCAATCAACAATGGTGGCTTGCCAATTAACATTTCCAAATCAATCACGACATCAAGAACGAATTAGTCCCAAATATGACTAATATACAACAATATGAATACCTTGTGTAATAAAAGTATATATTTTGGATCAATGAGTCCATTGATTTGAAATTTTTGAGAAACTAGTAAGGAAATCAATGTGTATTTGAATATGTGTTTGATATTAAAGATACTTTCCCAGTTATTGAACTGCAATGTCAATAATATTGAAAAACTTCAAAGTAATGCAAGAAAGGGAAATTTCAGCAAGTTGCATATGAAACTACTTATTGCAAATAATTTCTAGATTTCAGCAATATATAAACATTTGAAAAGTAATGAAGTCAGCGAATGTCAGTGGCGGGTGAGGAGGTGAGGACGACAGTTGTTGACAGCACTGGTAGGGAGAGAAGGAAAATGATCGATGAAGGAGGGAGGTTGTGAGAATGAACGAAGAAGGCGCCTGATAGAAGAGATCATGCATATGTTTGTATTTTTTTTAGGTTTTGAAGAAATGTGCAGACCTTGGAAACTTAATGCCAAGTCTGTGCCATGAAGACCTCGCGTAGATATTTTTATGTCTGCAAACTTCAGAAAAACGAACACACTACAAGCCTTTATGTTTGCACGTAGTCTACGCTGCACAGACAAAAGAGATCACGTAGATCTTTAGAGAAAAAACAAACAACCTCTTAGAGAAGAATAAACATGACTACTAAGAGGAAAAGAATCTCTT